TATAATGCAAAAGATGGTTTGAAAGAAATGCTCTTGATGCGAAAGACCTTGCAAGCCTAATGGGCTCGGGTTTTAAATGCGAGGACTGAAGCCGATTTTCAATGCTCTGGATGCAGGGTCGCGAGTCACTGAGCTTCCACAATGTACCCGGCTTTAACCCAATGTCGGTATGCGGACTGCAAATAGAGCTGGTTGACACGTTCCACTCCCGTCGGCGCTGGTGTCCGTCTCGACAAACGACTGGGTCTGCCAATAAAATCTTCTTCGGCCTGAATGCTGATGCCTTGGAAGACTGGAGGAGTTCAATCATAATATGCTGACTTGCTTGCATGCCCGTTTGGCATGATAACGAACAGTGCCAGCCCGTGCTCATGGGCCTTGGCAGCTGCTTGCACATACCTCCTCAAAAACTTTAGCCCCAACTCTGCCACACGTTCAGCGACAGCACTATCCAGCCACGCGTCGTTGGCGTACAGGAGCCGCAGTCTTCACGCTGTGCCATCATCGCCAAGATCGATCTCAGGTAATTCTTACCCAGGCCCAGGTTCCAACAATGAAAGATGTCGAAGGTCCACATTCCTTCCAACTTGTTTTGGCAATGAGGGATGACTGCCAGATCCGGCAAAGTATAAAAAGGGCTCTGTGTGAAGACCGTTGCCAACCACTTTGGTCGACGTGTAAGAAAATCTTCAAACGAGACATGAGACGGTCCCGCCTGGCATAAATGGCAGGTCCCCGCCGGTGGCTTTTTCAGAACAGCTTTCTTCTGCGAATTATTGAATGACCTCAAGAACAACCCGATGTATGCAACCATGGCCAATCTCCTAACAAGCATTCGGTAAGTGTTGCCTTTGCTGTCTGGCACACCAGTCTGTGCCATGAGAGCGGCCTGCTCGGCGAACACGGACATGAGTACATGATTGTATTCATCATCGGGGCCATAATCAGCCTTGGGAAGAACCCCGCAAAGGAGTCTGTTGGCGCACGTGTGCCCGACATAGTTTGTGGTCATTTTCAGATAGCCTTTGAGGACTTTCTGTCGTCGTGCAAATTGGCTCGTGGTTGTTGTCGTCGCGGCGACAGTACCAAGTCCCAAAACTTAACGGTAGCTGCACACCAGAATCGGGGCACGTCGCTTGGACCTGCCCTCGTCCCCGTGAATAGTCAAAGCTGCACACCGACACAAATCATAGCCAGATGAGAATATCGGGTGGTCTGGCTCCAACACACGATACCTGTTCCAGAACTCTGTCCAGATTGCACGTTCTCTCTGCTCGTCGGGTTCGCGTAAGCCACACAAAATGTGCCAACAGTTGGCATTCAAGATGAATCTTGCCCAGTCCGATAGGTGCAGGCAAAAAAGGCGTTCGGGCTCCCCAGTTTCCAATTTGACTGGTAGGGCTTTGAGGAGCTTCCCTACCAACAGCCGCCCGGTGCTCTGCTCTGCGTCTCGTTCCGAACAGCGGGAAAGTTCAACCAAACCACCTGATTGCCTTGCGGCCTGCTCGCCGATGTCTTTGACTATGTTCTTGGCTGCCCGCACTGCAGACGAGCAAGTTGCCTCGGCGAATATAGAAACATAGAAAGTCACAAAGAGAAAACTCCGTTGTTGTGGGGACCGTGCAACATCCGACTGATGCTCTGTGATGCTCATACCAAATCTCGAGAAACAGTTGGATATATTGTAGACGTTTCAGTGATCGACAACGACTAACTTGTCTGGATTTCGTTCAGTGCCTTGTCGATAAAACACTCTTTTGTGGTTCAGCCCCAGAGCCTGCGACTAGACGAGCCTCCTACATATTTTTAAAGTGCGAAGCATGTTCTGCGTAGTCGGCCTCCATTCAAGAGTCCCTTAAAGCCTGAAGCTCGCAACCTCCACCATGATAATCAGAACCCCAAATCATTCAAAGCCCTCAAAACTTGTAATTAGTGCTCCGGTGTGTCGAAGAATGCATAGTTTTGCTGCAGGAACGTGATTTCGCCGAGTGATCCCACTACATGAGAAGCCACCAACTTAAGCCAGGAATACACACCCGTTCAAAGCCTCAAGCACCTAACCCTGGACCAAGCCAATTTACTTAAGCCGATCTATATATAAACCCATATATACATGTTATATTCTATGTTATATATAGATATATGAGATATGTATATATATATATATATTATATATATATATATATATATATATATATATAAGAGGCTGTAACATATTATATAAGACCCTTAGAGGAATGCTAAACCTACCCCCAGCCCTTATCCATTACCAAAAAAGAGGACCTATCGATTTCCTGTATATACTAAAAAAGCCTTACATCTTAAACCCCATACACCGAGCTCGCGGCCCCTTCGCCAATGTCGGCGCGGAGCCCACGAACTGCATTGCCTGGCTTGATGCCTGGCCGGAAGCATAGTATATTACTGTACATATCCCCACTGTAAAATATAAGGACCCTGATGAATCATCACTTTCGCACCCCAAAAACCCAGTGGCACCGAATTGGATGCAAACTTGGCGAAAAACCACAGTGGTCCGGCTGGCCGCGGCTAAGTGGCGTTCGGCACGTAGTACTTTCGGTACAAAGTAGCGTTAGGGGTTCAGGGCTTCTATGGCATAGGGGTTTATAATCAAGGATTCTCAAGCCGGTGGCACATCACGGCACAGCCACTAATCGAAATAGCAGGGCTTTTCCCGCCACTCCAAAAGCTTGCACGCTAGAAACGATCTAGCAGCTCTCCTACTTCTTGCTACCCTTCTTGGGCTTTGTCTTTGCATCTGGCTTCGGCTTCGGATTGGCCTTTGCTTTGGCGGCCGCTTCTGGGGAGATCTTCTGGTAGTACTTCTTGGCGGTCCTGCGAGTTTGCTTCAGGGCTTGGGGCTTCCGAGCTTCGGGCCTTTGGGGCTTTCAAACACAGGGGCTTATGATACAACATTACAAAATCCGCCAAACCCACTTGTTCTGCGATGGCCTCACTTTCTGCTCCGTAGAAGCCGCACGGGAAGCCCTAAGTTGCAATGATCACAAACTCCACGTGGCTTCTAGATTGGCCTACATCAGTGCGATTGATACTTCTGCTAAGCAGCACCGAGGTAGCATCCTTCATTTTCGTTTCGGCCCGGTGGTAGAACCTGGTCACAACAGCATAAGTATATTGTACACGGTATCCCTCGCAACACGGCTTTTTAAGCTAAGCTCGTCCGTTGGATTGCGAGGTGCCTTGGCTCAGCTCGTCGTACAGCTTCTCCAGATTGGCGACATCCTTTTGCAGGTTGCTGATTGCCCTGGGCTGTTGGGGGAGAATGCTTTGAGAGTTTAATGGGTTGGGCTCCGGATGATAATATTTTGAGCATGCCACTGCGTAACATCTTCATCGTCGTACTGAGTGCTCAGTTCCTTAATCAAAGCCCTCATGTTGCCGATCTTCTGCATCATGCTGGCATTGTACTTCTGCAGGGTCGTCTCGGTCTGCAATCAGACAGAATATTGCGAGTGTACGATCGGGAGTTGATTTAGAAAAGGCTTTAGAATCCAGGCCTGGGCCCATTTGTGCTGACCGGGGTTCGGTGCTGCCTTGCTCCCATTCTCCCTGCTTTGATGAGACATCTTGCTGATGTTGTCCAGACCAGCAAGGTCTTTCATATGCGGGTCGACGTATCTCCACCTAGGTTCGTCAGGGCAATGATACACGGTACTAGCATAAAAATCTATTCTCGATAGGTTGGTTGCAAGATCCAAGCCTCGTGGCCCTCCGAGTGCCTTTCCTCATAGCTCTTTTGATGCGTCGTCTTCCAGGATTCTCGAAGCAGCACCCATGCAGTACCCTTCGACCCCGTCATATTGGTTTTTCCTGTCGCACAAGAATTGGTAAACTGCACATGAATGATGACAATGGAACACACACACACACACCTTTCACCCGAGTCCTCAGTGCACAAAGGCAAGACCGCAGAGCAAGCAAAAGCTCCCAATAGTAGCAGGTTGTGCATAACCTATATCAGAGAAAAGTTCCTCTGACCATTTGAGCACGTCGTACATCTCCTGCTCGCTGTACCAGCCACAGTCCAAATGGAGCTTGTTCTTGCTCTTCTTCGCCACGATGATTTCAAAGCTTTTTGATGAATATCTCCTGGCCGTATCTTGGACTTAGAACCTTATCTAAATTCTAGATCAAGAAGGAAGCATAACCCCGAAAATCCTTGTCGAAATTCTCGGCTTGGAGAACTTTGGCCATTTCAGTCTTTCGACCGCTCTGGCTCTTGCTTGACCCAGGCCGGCACTTCGAGGTCTTTGCGCTTGCTCTTGGGGGCAACCATGCGATCGATGCGGGCCTTCGCCGCCCGGAGGAGTTTCTCCTGGCCTTCATGGGCTTTGGAGTTCGGGGAGTTGAGAGGTTAGTTTGGGCTACCTTGGAAATTCTGAATCTCACGTGACCCGTCCTGTCTGGTCGGCTCCCGCTTCCCAATCAGTTTCTTCAAATGTTTGATGCATCGTCGTCCTCGTCATCGTCGTCCTCTTCGACCTTCGCAAGCTTCGTGCCTACGACTTGGTCGGCAGGCTTCGCTTGGTCGTCACATTGCTCTTCTTCATCACTGGTGGCCACCATCAATGTTTCAAACAACCGCTGCGATGATGCCAAGGCCTGTGCCTCGGTCGAGCTAGGTTTTCTCTACAAAAGATTGGGGCTAGATTTTCCGGTTCTGAGGTTAGGGCGGCTATCTCTAAGGCCTTCTCGGGTTCCTCCGAAGGTTCGTTGTCTTCACTCTCGAAGCTGGGGATGCTGTAGGGATCAACGTTCAAGCCGTGCCGTCGGAGGTCGTCGGCACTGGCCTGGGAAGGGCTCTATATTGACTATGTTCCTAGCCTGGTTCGGTAAGTGGGTATGTGGTTGTGTGCACATTTTAGGGCCCAAATTGCCGCAGAGCGCGGAAAATTGTAGCGCCCCAGCACCCGCCATGGGGTGCTTCTGTCGGCTACGGTCATGCGGTGCATGAACCCATGTGTACCATGCACAAGCTGGGCCTTCAGATTTGGCCCTCACCCGACGTGATGGTGCTCATGAGCACGAAGGGCACACTTTACAAGGTTGCCATGTTGAGCACTGCTCTGGAGGACGCGCTTGCATACTGCACGGTCGAGGAGTTTATGGTTGGCTTCAAGACAGTCCCTGGCTTTCCAGACGTGCGTCATCAGGCAGAACAGGTGCTCGTCAAACGAGGCCGCCTGGATCATCGAGCTGAGCCATTGCCGCACATCCGTCGTGATGGGGTGGCCATTTTGAGCATGTGTTTGAGGAGGACAAAGGCAGAACACATTCGCGTACTACATGGTAGAGGAGTTTGCAGCTGGCTTCAAGAAGAGGCTGGCTTTGCAGCTTCGCGGCATCAAGCAGACCAGAGGCTCGTCAGGCGAGGGCGACTGGAATATCAAACGGAAACCTGGCAACCACTGCAAGTCTTACAGAGAGGGGTGAGGCACAGACGACGAGTTGTTCGATCTGATGACCCTGATTCCGCGTTCCTGCAGTGTTCTGAGTACGCGAGTGATGCACTTTCTATTTGAGTGTGGAGGTCTTACGGCCTTCATGCTGTTGTTGTGTTTGATGTCCCGATATCACCTCGATGAAGGTGTTTTGACATCCTGGGTACGAAACTGTGTAGGGATGGCCTCAGCCAATACCCCTGAGGAAGATCCTGCACGTTTGAAGTCCGAATCCGATTCCAAACTGACTTCGGGTTTGTAGTTTGACTGGTGCTTTGATAGCCGACAACGGAATACAAAGCATCCTTTGACCGGGAAAATCTCTTGCTAGCTGAAATGATCCTTCTCATGACAGCCTGAGTGGCCACCAGATTTGGCAACCTTCTGATGGTTGCCACGTGCCTCAGTTTGATTTTGTTGTCGGGGTGGGACGGCTTTCCCGTCTGCCGGTTACATCCCACCCCTGTCCGGTGAGCGCATACTATGTCCATAGATTTCTGCGCCACCGCCACTTTCAATTAAATGCAGGTTGACTTCATCTTGCTAGGCGTGCGTCTTCGACAGACTCCATCGCTACGAATGAAAAATGTGCACATGTTATATGTTACGTATTACCCGTGTGTTCTGCTTGCAAGACAGCAGCCGGCACCGTCGTGGCGAGAGACGTAGACGGCGACATAGGAGCCGGACTGTCCTGGAAAGGAGATGCTATTGGGTTTTATTTAAGCTCTTCAGAAATTGTGGAGGTTATGAAGCCGGTCAAGGGTTTAGACAAGCAATTCCTGAAGGGTCTGGGCAAAGTTTGGTTCCACAGCCTTGGCCAAGATTGGGGCGGGCTCGGCGGTGCTGTCGCCAAGAGCAGCATTGATGTCCTGCACCAGAGGACCTCACTAAAATAGTAAAGAGGCTATATGCTTTTGGCGTTGCGGTTAATATATTATATGCGAACATTTTGCAAATATATATTGTATTTTATATAACCCCCTAATAAGCGAAGCTCATCCCCAATGCGAATAGAGTGCCTCTTGTGGCTTTCCATTGCAGGCCCGCCAATAAGCGAAGCTAATCCCTTATGCCAATAGACTGCTTGTTGTGGCTTTCAATTTCACGCCTCCAAAAAGCGAAGCTCATCCCCTGTGCCAATAGATTGCTTGCTTCGGGTTTAGGGCTTAGGGTTTAGGGCTTAGGGTTCAGGGGTTAGGGCAATGTGTTGCATATTATTACCAGAACGATGGTAAATACAAAATCTTTGTAGATGGGTCCTCTAGCTCACGTAGCAAGCGATCAGCTTCGGCGTGCTCAGCAGGGTTTGCTGCTAGCTTCGTATGGTCCACACCATGGGAAAAAGACTGGCAAATCCACAACTTGGAGATTGGCTCCATGACTGTACAGTACACACGATATCCTGCGGAGCCCAGGACTGAACACATTGACAATCCCTGGCATTCTGGCAACTCTGCTGCACTGGCATTCAATCGAGAATCGGAGGACAACCCAGCCTTTTTTTGCTAAATTCTGCCTATAGCAGTATAAGAATTTGTTTGCGACATGGCAGCTTTACGGCTGCTCTTCAAAGACAACTGATCACCTCGGGTCACGTCCTGGTGCTTCGCCGGGGCGCTACTGCTTAGCGAATCTCCAGACATATAGCCCCAACCGAAATGTTATATATGCAAAATGACAAACTTACTTTATGTCTCTGAGCTGTCAACCTCGTCGTCACTCTCGGTACAATGCTCGCCATCACCTGCACCCTTGGGGTCACTGACATGATCCTCATCATTACCCTTGCTGCCCCTGGAAACATGATCATCACTGCCAGCACCTGGCAGAACCATTGTCTCCGGAGCTCGCTTGAGCGCTCTGCGCTGGTACATCTCGCGCTCTCTCTCGGCTGACATGATGAGTCGGGGCTCGGCACCAACAACCACAGCTGGGGCAGGAGGTGCTGACGTGATATCGAAAGGCTGTGTCTCTTCGCTGTCGGGTGACTTTGTACTGGAGGCAAGTCCTAGCGCAGATATGCCATGAATATCACACACGAAAGATGAGAGTTTATGAATGAAATCTTGTAGGGTTGAGAGTTTAGGGCTTAGGGAAATTCTTAGGTGTCCTGCATGTGCACTGTCCAAGGACTCACGTGAGCCGGCCGAAGTGGTCTCCGAGCTGCCACTGGACAGCCGGCTAGACAGCCTGGCAGGGCGGCCGCAAAGCCCGCATTAGCAAATAAACTTAGGGCCACAGTCCCACTAAATCCCACATAAAGAACCCATAGATACTTTTAATTTTATAAGCCCCGATACACCAAAGCATCCAAGTTTTAATTGGAACCGGACAACCTTCGAAGCTTGCTTTTGATCTCGGCTGCTCTGGACTGAAGCAAAGCTTTCTGCTCCGCTGTCATGTTGCCTGAGCTATAAGACGATCTACTTTAGTCCGTGCAATCAAGGCTGCGGTGTAGCCTTGCATGCAACCAAGCTACTATGCTCCACGATAGCTTTGCCAGCACTAGCTACTGTCCTCACAGTCTCAGTCGTGGGACGAACCTCTGGAGCCGGTGGGGAGTTTTCAATCTTCACACACGTTGCACCTGGAACAACCGTGGGAGCACGAGCACGCAGCACATTGGGCTCGGGAGTAACCTTTGGAGCACTCGCCGCTGGGGGCACATTGGAGCCAGGAATAACCTCTGGAGCACTCGCAGGGGCACTCGAAGCATTGCCATCGGAGATGGGAGTATCCTCTGGAGCAGAGGGGGCCCCATAGGAGCTGGGATCGTAGGCATCGTCATCCTCCTTGCACTAGTTAGCTGGATCTCAAAACATTCTCAAAACCCAATTTAACTCGTTCGACCCCATATTAGAATCCAAAGTTTTATAGTCTTAATAACCAAAAGGCTGGAGTAGCCGCCGATGCGGCTGCGGCGAGTGCGGCGGCTTTGCGCTCCTCGCACTTTCGGTTGCCGAGGTCGACGATATCCTGGCACGGCTGAGGGTTGTTATTTCAGTGTCCGAATTTGATTGCGATGGAGCCTGCACTCCCAGGCTCAGCAGCAGGCAGAACTCTTGAAACTCGGGGTCCTCGGGTTCACAGATGCATCGAAATACTTTCAGAGCAGGGAGAAAGAGAGAGAGAGAGAGAGAGAGAGAGAGAGAGCCAGAGAGATTGAGAGAAAATAAACTCAACAACCAACACAATCCCACAATAAGGAAAGATTCAGTGGAAACCTCGCCACGTCGGGTTTTGGCCTTGATATGCGACGACAGCTTTCTTATGTGCCACGAGTCCGCAACGATGGCCTGCGCATCTTCCGGATTGTCAATCCTTTTGTTGGCTGCGTAGCAAGCTTGCATTTCAGCCCTCAAGTCGCCTACACCCAGTAGCTTCCCTTCCTCACTCTACAATGGGCAGCAGAATGGCCTTGTTGAGGCAGCACGTGTTGTTGTCGGTTTTGCTCTCGCTCCTAGGATGATGGAATGTAGAGCCGTCCCGAAGTCTGCCTCGGATCTCCGTACTGCTGTCCCACGTAGCATGGATATTGGTAATATCCAGGCTATCCTCCTTCTCGACCCCACTGCCGCTCATGGCTGGCAGAAAGAAAACCCCGCTACAGCAGAGAACCTGCGAGCTCAAATAACTCTGAAAACCTACACTTTCAAGCACTCTCCAATGCAGGTGCGGGCCGCTGCTCTGGTCTGATCTGAGACCCTGGCGATAGTGCCAGCATCGAAAACGAAGCCATCGTCCGACATTCGAGGGATCAGATGTGTTGTCGTGAGACTTATATAGGGTTTATATAGGGTTTAGGGGGGACGAGGCTGACTTCTGTCTTGGTTGGCTATTTGTAAATTTCGAAGGCTCCAGAACGGCATCTTCTCTCTGCTACAGAATGGTATCCGAACATCACTATAAATCGCGAGCAAAAAACCTATTGGCTTCCGAAGATCACTCCAAAACCCCAAACCTCGGTTCTATCGATGAAACCCAGGGTCCTGCTTCCATCATGCTCAAGAACGCAGTTCTGCGATCAGACCCTAACTTTTTATGGGGTTCGCAGGGTCAGGGTATGGCGGGTATGGTTCCCTAAGCTCAAACCATATACAAAACCCTAAACCCGCTGATGTTTTGTGCACTCCACGGGCGGTCTTCGCTCATGCTGACATCTGCCGGGGGATCCTGGTCCATGGATTTCTCCAGCTTCAATAAGCGAATGCGTAGGACACACAAGTACCGTTGAACTGTCCTCAAACTCACCGTACTTCGATGTGCAGCCCTTGGTACATTGCACGCAGAGAATTTCGTGATACGACTTTCTTCTAAATTCTGTATAATATGTATTTACAATGTATAAAACTATTACTGCACTAGATAAGAAGCCTGGACCTGCGACCGATGCTGCCTACCCAGCTGTCAGCAGCCAACAGATTGTAGCCGTTGGGGTTCACCCGGGTGATTCTGCTTTCACGAAGAGCATGCCACAAGTGCTGGTGCTTCGGCAGTATAGTCCGGCAGCTACGATTACAAACTTTGCCCCTCGCAATCTGCGCACTCAGCTTGCGCAAGCGTGCGTACGAGCGCAAATGCACCACGCCATCCTGATACATTGCTTCAGCATCCTCGCCAGACGTAACAAGCCCAGCCTGGCCCATGCGCTTGAGCATACTCGCGTAAGCCCACGTGGTCAACGCCACCAGCTTGTCCAATTCTGCTCCAGTGCGCTCGGCTCGTGCTGCACAGCGGGAAGCTAGCCAAAATGAAATAACTTTTCCTGAAACTGCCTTCGATGCCAAGCAAGGATGCGTCATCCGATTCTTTCTGTGACACCGTGAAGCGAGGATGATTGACACGCAGACCGGCCGCCTTGGCCCATTTCTTGAAATCCAGATAGGCTGTACGCAGGACCAGCTGTAGGTTCACAGTATACACCCCACAGGAAGGAAACACAGATTTCGGACTCGGCTAGATATACTAGCGCTGATCCGTTTAGTGTTTTTCTGTTTTTCCAGTCCCAAGAAGTTGGGAATGAGCAACATCATGAAGAAATCTTTCGAGTCGGACACCATAAACCATTGGCAGAGGCC